GTGACAAGAATATCTGCGCAACGGTTACTTATTCTCGACGATGTTGAAAGGTTGCTTCTCATATGGATAAATTAAAAGCAATTGCAATGTGGCGCTATTAACGAGAACATCATTTGTCAGAAGGCGAAAAGTTCAAGAAGAGAACCGGTATACACAACGTTGAGGCACGGTGAAGCAGAAAGTTCCGACACAAAGGCAGCAGAGAGCATCGGCGATTTCAAGAAGCTCGTAGATTCTGAAGGTTACTTGCCGCAACAGGTTTTTAATTGTGACCAAGCAGGTCTCTTCTGGAAAAAGATGCCGAAGCGAACGTATATAACAGCAGAGGATAATGCATTGCCCGGCCACAAGTTGGAGACCGACTCAAGTTGCTATTTTGTGCCAATGCAAGCGGCGATTTGAAAACTAAACCGCTGCTTGTTTACCATTCAGGAACTCCACGAGCCTTCGATAAATGCAAAATCCAGAAGAGCAGGCTAAATGTGATGTGAAGATCCAACAGGAAGGCTTGGGTGACACGTGACCTTTTTACTGAGTGGATTTAGGAAGTATTTGGTCCTTCTGTGAACAAATATTTGCTTGAGATTAATCTACCACACTATGTCTTGCTTGTTATGGATAACGCTCCTGCCCATCCTCCAGGCCTACAAGATGACCTCCCTGAAGAATTTAAGTTCATCAGAATCAAGTTTCTGCCTCCCAACACCACTCCGTTACTCCAACCCATGGACTAGCAACTCATTTCTAGGTTTAAGAGCCTCTACACTAAAGCACTCTTCGAGAATTATTTCCAAGTGACTTAAGGGACCAACATCAATCTCAGAGAGTTTTGGAAAAAAATCACTTCCACATCGTTGCCTGCCTCAAGATGATCGACAAGGCGGTGAGAAGGGGCTACCAAGAGAACCCTAACTTCTGCTTGGAAGAAGCTTTGGCCGGAGAGCGTTGTCGAATGTGACTTTGAAGAGTCCGAGACAGTACATATGGAACCTGAAGTCAACAAAATTGTGTCTTTGGCCACTATCATGGGATTGTAGGTGGATAGTGATATCGAAGAGCTTGTGGAAGAGCACAGCCAAGAGCTGACAATAGAAGAGCTTATGGAGTTGCATTGTGTTTCACAGCAAGAAGTTTTGGAGGAAAGTTTGTCAGAGGAGGAGGTAACAGAAAAGCATCAATCTTCTGGCGAAATAAGAGAAATGCTGAGAGCATTGGAAACTGTTGCATCTTACATTGAGAAGCATCACCCTAATACGGAAGTGGTTATGCGCGCTGCAAATTTATTTAATGATAATGCTGTGTCGCATTTTCGCAAAATTTTGAAGCGTCGGCAAAAACAAATGTCTCTGGACATCTTCTTGTGAAAAATAATTAGGTATGTATCATAATTATTTCGATTTCTTTTTTATGCAAATCCAATTCGCATTCCATGTGGGTTCGTTCCGCGGTGGAAGAAAAGATGAAGATGATTCACTCTCCCTAACAATATGTAGATAATTTTCTTTGAATAAACGTTATACATAACATTTTGTGAGCATTTTCTCCACATGGAACGCATTATCGTATTTTACATTAATTTATATGAGAAAAATTGTTTCGCTTTACATGTATGATTCTGGAACGAATTATGCACTTTAAGCGAGGTTCCATTGTATTCTCTGTTTGAATAAAACCCAACATGTTTTATCTATACTGGCTAAATATAAAACACGAAATCAGTACCTCTGGTGCAAACCCATCTCTCCGCCAGCTGGACGGTAAAGCAGAGAAACAAACAAAGTTTTAAACTGCTTTGTGACTGACAAGCAGCGATGAACCAGAGCTCACTTGTTAAGTTTTTGTTCTAACCCAGCCGGCTTCTTGAGTTAATCTGTTTACCATTTTGGTAACAGAGGGCAATGGAATCTCATTCTCTTTCTACTCTTCATTCTCTGTTCATTTTCCTCATAACCTCCCCCCCCCCCCCCGCCCCTATCCACCCCTTTTTCCGCCTCCTATGCATCCCTGTTTCTTTGTTTCATATAATACTTATGTGTTCCTATTATATATATATATATATAGGTATGGCAAGACAGACTCACAATCAAGTTGCTGTTAATTTCATCGAAACTAGAACTCTGATTTTGATGCTGAAGATGAGGACGCAGCGCTTATGGGAATGTCCCTTGTGCTGTGATGCCGTCGATTCCTACGTCACCTCAACTAAATATTGGTGAAATTTGAACTCTAGATGATATATGGAACTTGACAGGGGGAGAGGGAGGGGGAGCAAAGATTGATATAGGAATAAATAACTGGATGGCTTGACTGCGTGACTGGGTGGGAAAAGAACGCTGACTTAGGGCCCTTGAAACTCCCCCCCCCCCCCCCCCCACAAAAAAAAATTTTAAGTTTATTTTTTTAATGGATGCGCCGCTGGCTGATTGATTTAGCAAATACAAGTATAGGACCATATGACGATTCTATGCCAGGGTTTAAAAAAGGGAGCCCTTTACTGTTCTTTACTTCCTTGATCATATCAGCCACCAAGTGCCTTTATGATATATATCTAGCCCTATATGCCCAATACATGTAAAGGCGTGGAAAGTGGTCCTATCCTTTGCTTCCTTCAACCCCAGACAGTTGTTGCTTCCACTGGCGTAGGAAGATGATGGGGAAGGGGGTGCCGGTCGCGCCGGGTATTGTCGCTGACGAAGGATGGGTTGGGGGAGGGGGTGACAGGGGATATTCCGCAGCGAAAACTATCTGAACTGGCTACAAGACAAGACATGAACACTGACATGATCTGTGTGTGATTCTAGCGATCTTTTATGTTGCGGCTGCCTCATGCACTTAAGGCTTGTGCCTGCCGTTGGTTTAGCTGATACTGTAGTTTATCTCCCCCAAAAATTTCTCACATGGGACACCGGACAGTGACTCGATGAATTTGCTTAAAATAATCCAATCTGCTTTTATCAGGCAAGAATGGATTGCAACACTTAGCACTTCACTTCGAGAATGGCCGCTGGCTGGCTGGCTTCTTACCCCACCAGGGCATCACATTAAGCGATAAACACCTGGTGACACAAAGTGCCACTATTCGTATGAGGATCACCCGTGGAGAGGTCCCAGAAACCCCGTTCAACCTTAAGGCCCTAAACTTCATTCCTGCGCCAGGTCATGAGAACGAGCGTGCAGATTATCTTGCTGACACTGCAGTTGCTAAGGATAGAAGTAAGTCCCCAGTTAGTGGAATCTTACAACATGCTAGTTGAGGGGGTGGGGGCGGGGGACAGTGGGTCCATTCTTGTTTTCCTCACAGTCAAACCCACATGGAGAGATAATGATTATGACCGTGATGAGGATAATGATGATGATTATGATGATGATGATGATTTTGGTGATGATGATAAGGATGATAATATGTTGCTTGGTAGGGAAAAAGCTAGTAATGTACTCATCAAGCAGTTTCCAGTATGCCATTTCCCGTGGGGCGAATGTACCCGAGTCAGCAAATTCTAAAATCTCCGGTCATCTTGTCCCCGCCTGCCAGCATTTGGTTATTGCAAAGTTTAGGGCAGGTTGCTAGGTGCTCCTCACTTCAGTTCCGTAAGCAAAAACACACGTGCTGCGCTGCCCTAAGGACGCATTTTAAGCACTCCGTGGCCGCGATTCACGCTATCATCATCCTGCTCATAAATTACTGCTGACTCCGATCTTTTGCTTAGTTCTATTAATCGGCTAATGCTGTGGTTGCTATGGCTTGTCCGGCAATGTATAGAAGTCGTTAACGTTGTACCAGGAAGTCGGGTCGGAAATTGAGTCTTCAGCGCCCTTTAGCATACCCTCTTTCCAAGAACAATGTTCAGGGGTCTTGAGCATACACTCTCCATAAGAACAATGTTCAGGGGTCTTTAGCATACCCTATTCCCAAGAACAATGTTCACGGATCCTTGAGCATACCCTCTCCCCAAGAACCGGTTGTAGGTCAACTAAATTGATAAGTTGGTTGGACTAGTCTACCGTGGTCGAGGTAATGGGTATCGCAGTCTGTTGTTGTCTTGCATTTACGTTTTCATTTCCAAGAAAGAGACGGCCTGTGACATAGGCTATAAGGGGGTTGTGTGTTGGACCCAGCATCTAAATGTTTACAAAATGTTAAAAGCACTGGCATGTTGACATATACATCACGTGTATCAGCGCGAGTGCGGGATATCCCCGTGACCTTGTGTAAAAGTCGGATCGCTCCAGGCCGACCTATCATAAGTGAGATGGTCAGTAGGTCGTCCAATCAAAAGCATATTAATTGGTAGAAAAAGGGGGGGGCGGTTTGCCGAGAGATATTGTAAGGGGCGCAGGTCTCATCGCTGAGGGTGATAAACAATTTTTTATGTATTTTAAACATTAAACATGTGTCTGAGTGTGTCTGTGTTTGTGAGTGTGTGTTGTGTGGGGGTGGGGGGGGGGGGTGGTAAAATATGACCTTGCAATGACCCTGTTGGTGGGGGTGGAAGAAGCTACGCATTTACAAAAATAGATTTAGGTGCTCTCCCCCGAACATTTTTTTCAAAAACTGGGTAACGGAGACTCATACTCTGCAATCTTTATTATTAGTTTTATAACGAATTATCTCTTATTATTGTTTATACATAAACATTATATTATTTTAAAACATAATTGCTTATTAACCTGAAACCTGCACATTATTATTAAGTTCTTAAACAAGGCACAGGAAGAAAAAAAACTCCCCTCCCCCTGACGTTTCAGTAGTCCTAAACGCCGCTCCCTATTTTCAGGCTCCCCCTGTTACAGACAGGAGCTGCTAACTACGATTTTTGGCCAAACATCGACTCCAGACAGCCATCTTCGCCAACAACATCCTAACGATAATTGGGGCGGACAAGTTGTGATGCCTGAAAGGATCCGGTCTCTAATGTCCAGAAAGTACGTGTCTTGAAAGTGTTTATCCCCGGGCCGTCTCTCTTCTACAAACAGTCTCTCGAGTAGCTGAGAAAATAATTATGTCGTCTATAACAGCTCCATCTTCTGACACAGTGTTTCTCATACCTTCTGACACAGTGTTTCTTGTACCTTCTAACACAGTGTTTCTCATACCTTCTGACACAGTGTTTCTCATACATTCTGACACAGTGTTTCTCGTACCTTCTGACACAGTGTTTCTCATACATTCTGACACAGTGTTTCTCGTACCTTCTGACACAGTTTTTCTCATACCGTCTGATACAGTGTTTCTCATACCTTCTGACACAGTGTTTCTCCTACCTTCTGACACAGTGTTTCTCATACCTTCTGCCACAGTGTTTTTCATACCTTCTGCCACAGTGTCTCTCATACCTTCTGATACAGTGTTTCTCATACCTTCTGACACAGTGTTTCTCATACCTTCTGACACAGTGTTTCTCATACCTTCTGAAACAGTGTTTCTCATACCTTCTGACACAGTGTTCCTCATATCTTCTGACACAGTGTTCCTCATACCTTCTGACACAGTGTTTCTCATACCTTTTGACACAGTGTTTCTCATATCTTCTGATACAGTGTTTCTCATACCTTCTGACACAGTGTTTCTCATATCTTCTGTCACAGTGTTCATCATATCTTCTGACACAGTGTTTCTCATACCTTCTGACACAGTGTTTCTCATACCTTCTGACACAGTGTTTTTCATATCTTCTGACACAGTGTTTCTCACACCTTCTGACAGTGTTTTTCATACCTTATTACACAGTGTTTCTCACACCTTCTGATACAGTGTTTCTCATATCTTCTGACACAGTGTTTCTCATATCTTCTGACACAGTGTTCCTCATACCTTCTGACACAGTGTTTCTCATACCTTCTGACACAGTGTTTCTCATACCTTCTGATACAGTGTTTCATATACCTTCTGACACAGTGTTTCTCATACCTTCTGACACAGTGTTTCTCATATCTTCTGACACAGTCTTTCTCATATCTTCTGAAACAGTGTTTCCATACCTTCTGACACAGTCTTTCTCATATCTTCTGAAACAGTGTTTCCATACCTTCTGACACAATGTTTCTCATATCTTCTGAAACAGTGTTTCCATACCTTCTGACACAGTGTTTCTCATATCTTCTGACACAGTCTTTCTCATAACTTCTGAAACAGTGTTTCCATACCTTCTGACACAGTCTTTCTCATATCTTCTGAAACAGTGTTTCCATACCTTCTGACACAGTGTTTCTCACATCTTCTGACACAGTCTTTCTCATATCTTCTGAAACAGTATTTCCATACCTTCTGACACAGTGGTTCTCATACCTTCTGACACAGTGTTTCTCATATCTTCTGACACAGTCTTTCTCATACTTTCTGACACAGTGTTTCTCATATCTTCTGACACAGTCTTTCTCATATCTTCTGAAACAGTGTTTCTCATACCTTCTGACACAGTGTTTCTCATACCTTCTGACACAGTGTTTCTCATATCTTCTGACACAGTCTTTCTCATACCTTCTGACACAGTGTTTCTCATATCTTCTGACACAGTCTTTCTCATATCTTCTGAAACAGTGTTTCTCATACCTTCTGACACAGTGTTTCTTCTTCTGACACAGTGTTTCTGACACATCCCATACCTTCTGACACAGTGTTTCTCATATCTTCTGACACAGTCTTTCTCATATCTTCTGAAACAGTGTTTCTCATACCTTCTGACACAGTGTTTCTCATATCTTCTGACACAGTCTTTCTCATATCTTCTGAAACAGTGTTTCTCATACCTTCTGACACAGTGTTTCTCATATCTTCTGACACAGTCTTTCTCATATCTTCTGAAACAGTGTTTCTCATACCTTCTGACACAGTTTTTCTCATACCTTCTGACACAGTGTTTCTCATACCTTCTTACACAGTGTTTCTCATACCTTCTAACACAGTGTTTCTCATACCTTCTGACACAGTGTTTCTCATTTAGGGTCAGCTGATAACCGGTTAGGTCCGTGATGTATAAATGATCAGTTTGGTTAGGTGTGGTTTGGTTTATACAACGGATCAACATTATGGCACAAGGGTAGTAACTCATAAGTGCTCCGTTCTACTTCTAAGTTAAGTCTGAGTCCGAAGAATATCAGCACAGTGTACGAACTCCGTAGCATCGGCGAGAGTCCTGAAATACTTTGATTAGATTTTTTACTCCAAATTTTGCCTAACTGTTATGCTACTATTTTCGATTTCCAACTGCCAAGGGACTTTTTACGTGCGCAACTATACACACGGGCGTCCGATCTTACTACCCAGAGACCAGGGGAAATCCGATCTTACTACCCAGAAACCTCTCCCCAAGAACAGGGAAAATAACTAGAAATCCAAGTAAAAAAATTCCAGCCTTCACCTGGGCCTGAACGTGGGACCCCCAACACTCGGAGCGGGCATCATGCCTCAAGACAACTCAGTCCCCACCCCCTCCCCCAATGAATGAAATCACAAGCAGCAAAAAAACAATCATGGGGTTGGTTCTGCAAAGTCCTGTAAAGGGTAAACGACGCACTCAACTAACTTGTTTCATTTTGTCCCTACGTAACCCTGTTTGAGATTTTAATACTTGTAAATTATAATAAGCTTCTTTAGTGAGGCAATTAAATATCCAAACCTTGGTATGAGCGCCAAGAAACAGTTTATAAACAGCATATTTATATCAAGACTGTGCTACCAGTGTCAGACTTTGACATTATCAAAGGCTAACCTACGCAAAATTAACAACTTCGACATGAGATGCCTGAGAAAAGCCGCCAACTTAACCATCCGAGACAAAGTTAGAAATGATATTATCAGACAGACTGTAGGAACAACATCATGCAGCAAATTCATTGACAAACAGAAGATCAAATGGTTTGGTCTTTTAGTAAGAATGCAGCCAGGACAACTACCAACGCAGGCGCTACGCATGAAACGATCTTAATTGAAACATGAGGCCGACCTAGGAAAACATGGATTGATGACATTAAAGAGCTTCTACATCGGCACGGAGTGACAGTAGCCATTGCTGCCCTCAAACAATGGATGGCAAACTGTTATTTTCCACAACGCTTAATAGCAGAAGTGAAAATTGATGATGATGATTAAACAATGTTGGGTCTGTGGCAGACCTTCAAAGAGAAGAGTGGTCCCCAAATCTTAGCCAGCAGGGAACCACTTGCTGATAGACAATGTCCATTTCTCCATGACTGGATCTCTTTTTAAAATGTAATTACTGTTTGGGCCAACGTGCACTGGATCGCAAATTATTCCTCCCCACGGCGCTTAACGGCATAAGTGGTTTATGATGATGATGATGATGATGATGATGACGGTTTGGCTACGAAACCCTCTGAAAAAAATAACGAAAAGCATTCTGCATTTTTGTTTCCAGCGAAGCAAACACACACACACACACACATATATATACACATACACACACATACACACACATATTTACACATACACACACATACACACACATATATACACATACACACACATACACACACATATATACACATACACACACATACACACACATACACATACATACACACACACACATACACACATACACACAAACACACACACATACACATATATATATATATACACACACACATATATATATATATACACACAGAGAGAGAGAAAGAGACAGAGAGAGAGAGAGAGGGGGGGAGGAAGTCGCAATAGTGTTGGCGGCAAGACGCTCGCTTGCGGATCTTAAGGTCGTGGGTTCGCGTCCTGACTCACGTGGACTTTTTTTTTTTCAAAACTCCCAGTTTGACCCAGCCTTGAGTGGGTACCAGGTGCATTCCTAGGAAGTAAAGGCGGCCGACGGAATGCTGACCACATCAGCCACCAAGTGCCGATTGGTCAATAAAAATATAGCTTTAGTCCTATATTCCCAATACGCCTACAGGCGTCGTGGTGGTGGGGGAAAAGGGGGGGGGGGGAATCCTTTATTTACTTCAAACAGAGAGAAAGGGAAAACGATTCCTCTTATATTCTACGCCTTGTGGAAATCTTCATAATGTCGATCCTCTCTTGGTTGTCACATCTTTGGGACATTCCAGCACTCTCGCATTCAAGGGTCAAATCGACCCCTTTGGGAAACACTGGTTTACATGTTGCCACAGAATTGAGCGCGCGTCACTTGCAGCGCAATTATGTAAATGGTGGTGGTTGTATGAAGACATGAGTGATATCATGATTTGAGGCTCGCCTGCTTTCAGCAAAAACAGAAGCACCAAAAAAAAAAAAAAAAAGGACAATAACAACAAAAAACAACAACAAAAACAACAACAACAAAGGGCAAGCTGGCAACAGGCCGCTTTGTATTTAACCTGACAACAGTATGAGCGTTGACTGTTGAGCAGAGAGTAATGGCAAACCACTCAACGTAGACTTGCTGGTTAACCTACAGAAAGGTAGTATGTCGATTTGCATTATCTTCTTAAAGTGTAGGCAAATAATCTACTGTGTCTTGTTTGAGCGTCAATCCATTATTAAAAAATGCCATGAAACGATATCAAACCAAACACACACACAAAAACCAGTCAACTACACATTATCACGAACACAAATTTCTAGTGAGCGTTGCGGCTAGAGAGCCTTAACAGCGCATAACATGATGCAAACAAGAGTACAAAAATCACATAAAAGAAGGACACAATACATGTGTTGAGATTTGTAATAAAGAAAGGACCCTTGTTCACGCCCATTGTGAATGGGGCCTATGATAGCAGACTATTGTTTTATAGACCAGTTGGTAGTCTGTGTGTAACGTAATCAACGTCACGTTGGCCGCCTTTACCTCCCACGATGTTACCTGGATCTAATTTTAGACTGAATCGACTAGAGAGCCATGGTCAAGTTTGAAAATAAGAAAAACCTTAGTAAACTATATGGAACCTACATCGAACCTAAGACCTGTCAAGCGAGCGTCAAGCTGCTACATTACCGCGGCTCCCACTCTGGAAAAATGTCTGCCGTATTTATTTTTTCCTAATCCCGTAGATGGTCCCACGATGATTACTTCTGAATGATATCCAGGTGCTAGGTTATCGCCAACTAAACGACACATCCTTGGTTCCTTCCTTGGCGCACGGGCATCAAAGATTTCCCGCACAGATACTAGCTCCGGAAGTATGCCATGCTTACACGCGTTCTCTGGTTGACGGCCGACTCTTCTGGAGAAGGCGGTGCTCTGGTAGTAGGTCAGTTCTATCATATCCGGTTTGGCGCGCAGAGTTTGAAGGACGCCAACCTGAGCGCATTCTGGCGGGAATATGGGATCAACAGGCGTACAGGTAGAGCTTTCGCATCTTAATGCATATTTGTGTATATGGTCTCGATTAGAAGCTGTGGTGTTTCCTTAGAAGCACCGGTGTGGATCTGCACGAGAGGCGAGCAGCCGACAGTCTGCTTACAAATCAGCCAGATCTGTGCACGCAAAACTCAAGTTCTGAAACAGGACTAAAGTGTAGTGGATGATGAACACTAAAACTTTCCGCAGGAGTTTGCAGCCGGTAAACGCGAAGAAGATGAAGAAGAAGGATTAAGAAGAAGAAGAAGAAGAAGAAGAAGAAGGATTAAGAAGAAGAAGAAGAAGAAGAAGAAGAAGAAGAAGAAGAAGAAGAAGAAGAAGAAGAAGAAGAAGAAGAAGAAGAAGAAGAAGAAGAAGAAGAAGAAGAAGAAGAAGAAGAAGAAGAAGAAGAAGAAGAAGAAGAAGAAGAAGAAGAAGAAGAAGAAGAAGAAGAAGAAGAAGAAGAAGAAGAAGAAGAAGAAGAAGAAGAAGAAGAAGAAGAAGAAGAAGAAGAAGAAGGATTAAGAAGAAGAAGAAGAAGAAGAAGAAGAAGAAAGGAAGAAGAAGAAGAAGAAGAAGAAGAAGAAGAAGAAGAAGAAGAAGAAGAAGAAGAAGAAGAAGAAGAAGAAGAAGAAGAAGAAGAAGAAGAAGAAGAAGAAGAAGAAGAAGAAGAAGAAGAAGAAGAAGAAGAAGAAGAAGAAGAAGAAGAAGAAGAAGAAGAAGAAGAAGAAGAAAAAGAAGAAGAAGAAGAAGAAGAAAAAGAAGAAGAAGAAGAAGAAGAAGAAGAAGAAGAAGAAGAAGAAGAAGAAGAAGAAGAAGAAGAAGAAGAAGAAGAAGAAGAAGAAGAAGAAGAAGAAGAAGATATGCCGTCGACACAATAAATGCTGAATTAGATTTCCAGCGCTGGTGTAATGTCATCTTAACAACAACGTTGAATACCTGCCCGAGTATAGCGCTGTACAGGGCCTTATCTACACATTCGTGCGATTTATTTATGTTTTCTTTTAAATATCCAGAAACCATGCGTTCTGAACCCTTTGGCTCGGTACTATGGATATCGCAACCCTTCTGCCTTGATTCCGTGATAGGTACCGTAAATCTGGGAGAAATGTGGCTTTTCTGCCTACTCCCGGGAGTGAACCCGGACCACAAGGAGTTTGTCACCCGGTCATCGCGATGTCAGGTTTTAACCAGCTACGCTAGAGAGCCGGGCGATTTATTTATGTATCAGAAGCCATCCCCCCATTTAAGGTTTGATGTTTTTTGTTCTTCAAAACTCATCGTCTCCCGTCCTGGTTGTACACTAAAATATCAATGTTGAACCTAAACGTCGAAGAAATCAGGACAAGTGGAGACAATCTAATTGTGAGAGAAGCCCTCGACTTTACCTGTGAGAGAACACAGGTACCGATAGGTGTGGCTCAATGTCAGACAGATTCACACCTCCGTCCTCCAACAAACACGTGCAACAACAAGAGGGCAAATAAACACACCCATTGTCAGTACCTGGTATCTTTCTGGCAGCATAGATCCAACAGTGTGTAAAGCCCTGTCAAACAAACATGACCTTACACCGCGAGCTGGAGGTTAGGGTGTAAAGGGAAAGAAATCAGAAGGGCGATCTGACAACACATGGTACACATGTA